CGAGAAACGAAGAACGAAAAACGAGAAACGAAAAACGAGAAACGAAAAACGAGAAACGAAACACGAGAAACGAAGAACGAAAAACGGGAAACGAGAAACGAAAAACGAGAAACAAAAAACGAAAAACGAGAAACGAGCCACGAGCAACGAGAAACGACTAACGACGAAGGACGAACGACTCACGACGAACGAAAAACCAGAAACGAGCAACGAGAAACGACTAACGACGAAGGACGAACGACTCACGACGAACGAAAAACGAGAAACGAAACACGAAAATCGAGAGACGAAAAGCCCAAAAACAAATAAACGAAAAACGAGAAATGAAAAACGGGAAACGAGAAATGGAAAACGAAAAACGAGAAATGACAAACGAGAAACCAAGCGAAAATGGACAAACGAGAAACGAGTAACCACGAACGACGAATGAAAAACGAAAAACCAAACACGAAAAAGGAGAAACGAGAAACGGAAAACGAAAAACGAGAAAGGGAAAACGAAAACGGCAAACGAGAAACGAGCAACGAGATACGAGTAACGACGCACGTCGCACGACGCACGATGCACGTCGAACGACGAACGAAAACCGAAAAACAAAACGAAAAACGAGAAACGAAACGAAAAACGAAAAACAAGGAACGAGTAACGAATAACGACGAATGAATAACGAGAAACGAAAAACGAGACGAATTACGAAAAGCTGGAAACGAAAAACGTCAAACGAAAAACGGGAAACGAAAAACGAGAACCTAGCAACGAGAAACGAGTAACAACGAAGGACGAACGACGCACGATGAACGAAAAACGAGAAACGAGTAACGAAAAACGAGAAACGGAAAACGGGACACGAATTACGAAAAGCGAGAAAAGAAAAACGAAAAACGACAAAGAAGAAAAACGAAAAACGAGAATCGACAAGGGAAAAGGAAAAAGGAAATAAAAGGATAAGGGAAATAAAAGGAAAAAGGAAATAAAAGGAAAAAGGAAATAATAAAAGGAAAAAGGAAATAATAAAAAGAAAAAAGGAAATAATAAAAGGAAAAAGGAAATAAAAGGAAAAGGGAAATAAAAGGAAAAGGAAAGAAAAAGAAAAAGGAAAAACGAAAACGAAAAGCCCGGTTAGAGTTAAGGGGTGGGGAAGATTTAATGTGTCGCTGTTGCTAGGAATGCTCTGAGCGTTAACAGTTAGACATGCATAGCCGTTCGTTAAGGCGAGTCCGAAGTGTTGGGCACGGCATGCTAAGTTGTTAGTATGTGGCGAGTCTAGTGGGAGCGTTGTGTCTGTCCTTAAGAGTGTTCTGAGTGCTGACTGTTGCAGGGGTGGCGTACGCCGCGGCCCAGACTGTGTGCGTCCCCGAGTCTCAGGAGGAATTGGACTACCACGTAGTGCTGTCCGCCGTGGAGGCGTTCGCCATCAACCTCTATCAGGTGAGAAGTACAGACACTTTAAGAGAAAAAATATCTCAATATGCACATTGTCTGCTATTCATTTCCTCCATCCCTCCCTGTCACTCACTCACTCTCATTCTCTCTCTCTCTCTCTCTTTCTCTCTCTCTCTGCTGTAGTGCATAGGTTTCCGCCTCACACTCTCCTCTCGTAAGATCATGCGCTCTTGCTTCCCAGGTAAACGATACGGGTGGAACCCACATCCTTTCCCACATTCCGGCAAACAAGTTGGGTTGTGAGATAGTATGCATTTATAATTAATATTAATTTCAAACAGTATCTAATGTTTACTAAAATCCTGGTAGCTGCTTGAAACCTAGTATGTTTTAGAAAGAAGTCAAAGCAATATTGGGTTAAAACCGTCACGTTTCTCCTTCGAGAAAGTCGATTGAAAACGTCAGAAATAATTGTACTCTAAATAAAAAAACCCAAATAAATCACAACTTTCTACAAAATAAATATCCATTCCTCTCTTTACTTTCTACAATAAAACAAACTCTCTTTTTCCTGATATAACACATACGCAATAACAAAACAGTGACTCTCCTTGACAATAATTTAATAATTCAAAAACCGCGTGTGTGTAATCCCATTCTCTGCTTTAATGTATAATTAAAAACCAATTTGAAAATTTATCATTTGGAACATAATTTTAGATTATTTTTTGATACGAGATCATTTTGAATTATCTGTTGTTTCAGACATTTCATTCGTAGCACACAATTTTTTAATATTGCCACCAAAATTTTCTAAAATGTATATTAAACTCGTCAAAAAATGCGATCCTATGCAATGCATTTGCTCTGGGCATGGATGCTGATTGCCACCTCTGGAAAAATGTGGGGCCTTTGCCGAAATTATTCCTTTTGTTACTTGCACTGACGTTTCTATTATGCTGTGTGTCAATGCGCGTGAATGTGGTGGTTTCTTCGCAGAACACGGCTGTGTTGTTGCCGTTGGCGTTTCTGGTGTGCGCTGATTCACAATGTTCGCGCAGTTGTCAAGGGGCGAGGCGAGCAAAATGATAGGGTCTCCGTCTATGTCCGAGTATGTCTGTTTCACGTACTAGCGTCGACGTAACCGATGTGTGCTGTAAGTCTGTGGGAATAGACGGAGAGACGAGGTGAGAAACGAGGTAGTGTCTCTACTCAGTGCGATCGTGGTGCTAGCGCTGACGTAACCGGTGTGTGCGGAGCAACGTGCTGATGACTCTATTCTGTGCGACTGCAGTGCTAAAGCTGACGTAACCAGTGTGTGCAGTCTTTGTGGGTGCAGGCGGGCGGGTCGAGGCGGGCAACGTGGTGGTGCTAGAATGGTCGTAAAGGGTGTTTCCCGGTGCAGAGCGTTGTGACAGGCGTCTACTGATCATGTCTACATAGCTGGTGCTGACGTACCCGGCGTGTGCTGTAACTCTGTGCGCAGGAGGTGCGGAGCGGCGGGCCGGGCAACGTAGTAGTGCCTCTGCTGATCATGTTTACATAGTTGGTGCAGACGTAACGGTGTGTGCTGTAACTCTATGTACGCAGAAGGCGCGGAGCGTCGGGGCGGGCAATGTTCTAGTGCATCTGCTAATCATGTCTACATAGCTGGAGCTAACGGTGTGTGCTGAAACTCTTGTGTACGCAGGAGGTGCGGAGCAAGGAGGCGGGCAACGTAGTGGTGTCTCCGCTCAGTGCGGCCATGGTGCTGGCGCTGACGTGGATTGGTGCCAATGGGCGAACGGCTCAACAGCTTGGCGACGTGCTGCATCTGCCGCTGAGCCGAGAGCGCGTCGCGACAGGGTTTCGCATGCTTATGGGCAGCCTACCCACCGCCAGTAATCGGGTACGCATCGTGTACATAGAGTCGGGCTTGAGGGAACTTAACGATTTTCACGACATTCAGAACTTGGTGGGGAACTTTATGCACTATTGCTTTCTAGTTTTATAGAGAAGAGCTGATTTTGGTGAGCCACCTTACTTTTTAAATCTGTAGGTTTGTTACGAATGTTTTTGAAAGAAAAACTTCAACCACACGTTCAACATCACAAAATTCACACGAGACAGTGACGTCACCACTAAAAGATTCGTCGTTCGCTTATTTCTTTCCTTCTAAACATGCTTTTGCCTCCGAAATGAAAACCAAGAGTACTTAACGTGTCCAAAAATGCTGATATGGTGTTGCTGAAAAATTATTTTACCAACACATTCAGAAAAGTATTTACAAGACTCAGGTACCTGACTGCAATGAGAAATAATATAAACTAAGTTGGAGGTAAATATAACAAAATTCTCTCTGCTGTATATCGAAATATTGCAGAAATATTAGCTGCTTGAATAACCTGAGTTTATTAATATTTTAATTTTTATTGCTTTTATTCCATTGTATCTCTATATAGCTAATTTTGAAGCCAAAGAAGAGTCAGATATGTGTATTTAAATAATGTATTTCTTAATACATTCAAATTATGTTTTTTTTATGATTTGTAAAAAAAAAATATGTTTGCTTCAAAAACTAATAGGAATTAAACTTGTACTTTTTTGGCATTCTAAAGTAAATTTTGGAAATAAACCGTTTTCTATTGTATATTACCCATAATTTTACACTGTATGACAGTATACTTTTCGTAATATATAATTCGTAATAATTTCTGTTATTGTTGATAATGTCGTGTCTTCTTTCTAGTCGGATGATGATCCATTAGTACAACTAGCTAACAGACTCTACATACCAAATGGATATCAACTTGAAGATGCCTTTTCACAAACAGCCGTTGAGGATTTCAAATCAGACATAGAGAAGTTGGACTTCGCAGACGCGGACGTCGCGCGAAATACCATCAATCAGTGGGTTGCGAATAACACGGATGACCTGATTGAGAACCTAATTCCAGAAGGTTTGTCATTCCATCCCGTTGTATTATATTAATGTAACAATTACATTTATGCGTTGTGTGTGGTAATGGTGTGTGTGTGTGTGTGAGCGGGGGACTGACAGCGAGCGAAGAGAGACCGAAGACAGAGAAGGGGCGGAGAGAGAGAGCAAGAGAGCGGAGGAGAGTTGCGAAAAAGAGTGCAAAGAGTGATGAGAGAGAGAGAGAGAGAGAGAGAGAGAAAGAGAGAGAGAGAAGAGAGAGAGAGCGAGAGAGCGAATAGTAAAACTGTATGAAATGGTGAATAGTTAAACATACGACCACATCGCGTTAGAAGTTTGTTCTGAACATTCAAAACGAAAAATAGATGATCAGTTACAGTTGCTGGTCTCTTGAAAGCAGTATATTTCGAGTATTCTGGTTGATCTCACTAATGGCCTCAAATCACAACATTTAATACCCTGAGTCAGTGCTTTCTCATACTCATTTATTAGAATAAAATGTATCGTGCACATTCTTTTATGACTGCGTCAACTATTTTGTGCATCTTTAACTTTCATATATCATACTTCGTGTTGTGCACCTTTTCGATATTTTTCTGTTCTTTGCAGTTTTGGAACGTCCTCGTCAAGAAAAGTATGACCACGTTTGAATTCAATCGCCAATTTCTTGATTGTCGAAAATAAAGGAGCAGATTCTTTCTAAGAATTCTCACTAACATTGAAAGCATTTTTGTTGGCGATGGTCTGTCTAAAACAAAGAATTTTATGACGGCACGGTATTTCATTTTCTTTATTTGAACGAAATACAGACACCACGTCCTATACTTTCAACGTGGGTACAAACAAACCTAACAGCTTGATCAATGCGTCGCAAACATTATTGCGAAACATCTATGAGCATGACAAAACAAAAGTTTATTCATGTTAATGTCATTTCTGCGCGAGTCCGATAACTTTATACATTGCTTCCGTAATTTTTGGAAGGAAACACTTTTGCAGTTTCAAGAAATATTACAATATTTCACGACCTTTACAAATTATGCGAAAAAGTACGTGCTGTGCATCATTAGTTTCTCTTCTTCTCTTACGTTTTCTTCTCCTCCTGTTCTCTTTTTGATTTCTTCCTTGTTCTCTTTCTTCTCGGTGTCTCAACTAACATTAATGTGGATGGAAATTGCCAGGTTGCTACAACACGAAAACGTGTAATAAAAAAATTCCATGTTGGACGTCTAATAAAGTAATTGACTGACGACAGCGATTTACTCTGACTGGCTATTGTAAACATTGAAAGTGGTATTAATAATGAAATTTTCAAAATTGTTTTCTTTTCAGGTTTTCTAAGCGCTGAAACTAGACTTGTTCTAGTGAACGCCCTTTTGTTCATTGGAATGTGGTCGCAACCGTTCGATGAAAGCGAGACAGAGAGTAAACCTTTCCACTTGTCGGAGAACGAGCAAGTCAACGTCTCCATGATGCACGGATCCTTGCGCTTGGATTATAGCGAACTGCCCGACTTCGACGCAACCGTTTTAAGACTCCCTTACCGAGTAAGTTAGCAAGGCACATGGAAATCACTAGCTGATGATGCACCGTGCATTTAATAATTATTTATACAAATAAATATTACATTTAATGTTAATTTTGTGTCGGAAGCAAACTTATCTGAAATGGCAAGCAAAACGACCAAAACTTTGGCGAATATTAATCAGAAAATCTCGACGAATAATGAATATAAAGTTTCCCGATGGAGATCATTTATATCAGAACAGAACTCGGTGAATTCAGGAGTGTCACATATCTCAAACACCACATTGTGCTGATGACAAACCCTTATTAACTTCGCAATGTGATATAAAAATAGGTTTTGATAATATGCAAAACAACTTTCACGGATTTCAAAATTGGATCCGAAACTGGAGAATAAAAATCAACCCTGACAAACCTGAAGTTAAAATATTTACTTTTAACCAATATCAGTATCCTTTCCAATGAAACTCAATGTCCGTAATGTGACATGGACAAAAAGTAATATTCTAGTACAATATCTTTGTGTCAAAAAACAAACGCTGTCATCTCATTTTCAGGCAACATCTAATACAACATACTACACAATACTACATAAAAATCTCAAAATTATATCCGCTAATAAATTTCAAATCTTTCATTAAATTAGAATGTGGTTCACTATTAAATTAGAAATGTGTTCCCACCTATTAATGCCAACCAATAAAATTCCGAACTTCCTCTGAAAAACTTACCTACTCCAAATCTGATGCAATGCTGAACAATCGTAATGGGCCACAATATTATTATTATTAATATTATTATTATTATTATTATTATTATTATTATATTTTATTATTTATTATATTATTATTATTATTATTATTATTATTAATATATTATTATTAAGAAAAAATCTAATTTTTATATACGAATATAATGCAATTCTCAAAGGCAGTTTGTTTAACGCTCAAATACTCATTCCACTCTCTTAAAATATTTTGATTTTTTCATAGCGTAATAATTCTGGAGATTCTGCATGCACGACCCTTAATAACCTTTCTCAATTAATAGAAAGAAGTATGCGAGCACACAATAGAATTAAATAATCGTCTTTACATACATTAGTAGCAATGTTTAATTTGACAGGGTAGCAACGTCGAATCGGATATGCTGATTCTACTCCCAAATGCCGTGGATGGTTTGGAAACTTTGGAAAGCAACCTCGGGCAAGTAGAAATCTTCAACATCGAGTTCCAGATACGAGAAGTGAGAGCAGATATCCCTAGTTTTAAAGTGGAAACAACGATAGATTTGAAAGATGGACTCCAGTCGGTAAGCACAGAATTCTTTGACTTTTGCTTTCAGACGTAATCCTCTTCTTCCATCACCATTTCCTTCATCTTCATTTATCTCTACCTTTATACACCTTCACCTTCTTTATTCATCTTCATATCATCCTTAATATTCATTTTCTTTATCTTGGTTTTCTCCTCTTTCGTCTTCTCGTCCTTGACCTGACTGTCAGAAAGTAAGCAAATCCTTGCAAGTTGATTGCTTCGAAGTAGGTCACATGACATTGTCTAGGCTATTCGCGTCTCTGACGTGACGTGGTGGCTAACGTTTCGGCCAACATGTTGTGGCCTTCCTGAGAGCACACTACTGAGATATTCTCATTAAAACTTCCCAAGGAACTAACTAACCCACCAACTAATCAACCTTTCTCTTGAAGTCCTTTCTGTATATATTTTGTTCTTTGCTAGGGGGTGGGTGTGAAATTACATTTCTAGTCTGGCAAACCATGCCGGAATATACCTAGAAGTCCAAATTTACTTCTCAAATTTATTAGAAAACGCATGTCAAATAACGCAAAATGTACGTGACAAAATATACGAAGTTAGTTTTAACTAAATTAAATTATTTTTAATAGCTCCATGAATTATTTTTTTTCAGCTCCAAGTACGTGATTTATTCGACAACCAAGCCGATCTCAGTGGAATATCCAACGAACCTCTGTATGTGAGTGGTGCGGTACAAAAAGCTTACATCGAAGTTAACGAAAATGGAACAGTAGCAGCAGCAGCCACAGGTGAAACTCTTTTGTTATTGCTTTAACACTCCGCTGCTCGCAAACCCTCTTGGGAAGTGTTTATTATTGCGGGGTATTTGAGTACTCCAACATCTGAAAACCACATTATTTTTAGAAGAAACAATTGACAATATTTTTCGTTATTTATGTTGGAAAACACGCACTTAGCTCCTTAGCAACCAATCATCTAAACAACGCTTTAAGAGCGCGTCCGTATTGACGGTATTTAAAATGCTCGAGAGTCCATTAATAGTTATTTACGATATTAGTGTCGTAATACATTTGATTACAATACGAGATTGGAAAATTGCCAAACGAGTCCGTTAGGACGAGTTTGGTAACCAATTGAGTATTGTAAACACATGTTACGACACGAATATCGTACAACGTTTTATCCACTTTGTAAAAATTTGTTAGATTTAAGATTAAAATTTTCATTTAGTATTCACATTTTTACCCTTTAAGTGGCGATACCGTTCTTAACAAGGAGAACAATTGAAACCACCATGGTTTACACATTTCAACATGAGCGAATGCAGTTCAGATTCAGAAAAAGAAATAACAGCAAATGCTGCTATAGATTCTTTGTTACAAATCAAAGAAGAAATATGAGCGTGGGTTCTCAATTTTTAAGGATTGGTGTGAAAACAAAAACCTTCATTGCATATCAGAAAAAGTTTTAATGGCTTACTTTTCCGGCAAGTCAGAAAAGGAAAAACCGAGTAGTCTTTGGACCCACTTTTCTATGCTGAAGACTACTTTATTAGTTAAGGATAATATTGATGTAAGTATGTTTACCCACTTGTTAGCATTATATAGCATTATACAGCACTAATTTGAATTGTCAGGCTTCATCATCATCAGGAATTACAATTTTGAATTGCAAGAAATCTGTTGTTAATGTATATAATAAGTAATTAAAATATATATTATTGTTATTATTTGAAAATTGTTAACAAAGTTATTTTCATAATTTATTTGAATAATTATTGTTATTCTGAATAATAGACCATGGAATTGTGCTCCGTCCTCAAGAAATACCTCCAACTCGTAAATGCAATTAAACCGCCAACTATGTGTTAAAATGAGTTCCATACCCCACACTAGAGCCCGGTAAAAGTACTTTATTACGAAAACTGGACTACAATAGCATAATGCTTTCACATTACCTCACCAAAGTGGATAAAATATTTTAGCGGACTCGCGAGTTTAGATTTTACCAGTGCTCATAAATAGCGGAGACCCAGGAGCATTTTGCCGATTACACTCGAACCACATACCTGATGCAGCCTCCTTCAGCTAAACATAACCCAAAAGGAAATGTCTTTTTATGACATTTAATTTCTTTATACATGTAACTAAAACATGTGAAGTAGGTTTGGAACAGTGTTAAAGGAAAGAAATGGTTTAAATCTAATTAATATTTTCCATTGAAAGAGAAAAGTGGAATCACGAAGAAGAACAAGTATTTCTTTATACTTTTCATGATATCTAGAAATGTAAGTAATCCACGTAGTAAATAAGATTATCTAATTGGTAAAAACCTTTCTGTTGTGCTTTTTAACTACTTTTTGTCTTTCCGTTCTAGGGTTACTGGGAAAGTAAAAAAACAACAACTAAGGGTTCTTTTCTTTATTATTGCTGCATTTAATTCCAGAAAATTGCGCCCCTTTCGGCACACGCCGAATGTGTTAACTCTAATAAAAATTCATTAATATTTGGTATATACAAATTTAGTATAAAGCAAATATGTTCTGATACATGTCAAATGAGAAGTCCTAAATAATTTTACGTGTTATTTAATGCCTTTAAATCCTAGGACTATAAAATTGCGAGGTCAAGAATCAACATGAACTATTTTTTAAGTTTTTAACCGGCTCTTAATAAATGCAATTTCACAAAGAATTCCGTATACTTCAATAGCAGCTATCCGTAGTATTACTTGAACTCCACCGGAACTGCCACCTGTATGCGAACTAAGAAAAGGGCTTAGCTGCGTATTCATACGTATACTGTGTTTAACTTACAGAGGTCTATCCATCAATTTAACCAAACTTTCAAAGGATATAATATAAAAATCATTAAAAAAACTAATTTCAAAAATGACGACCAAAACAATGGTATTTGTGGGAAAGCATCCTATACGCACCACAATAATTTTGGAAAATACGGTGCTAGAACTAATAAGCCATTTTAAATATTTGGTTGACAACATAACGTTCCTCACAGAAATGTATATAAATGAAAAATTCATAAATATCAGAATATATGCAGAAATATTCGGCGAACTCTTAAAGCTAAAACACGCAGAGATACTCCAATGAGGATATGTAATGTCCCGTCTCTGTTGTTCGGAAGTGAATGGTGGACTGTGAGGGAGAGAGATAAAAAGGCGTTAGAGTCTGCCGAAATTAAATTCTTGAGATATGTAAAAAAATGTACCAGACTAGATAAACTCAGAAATGAGGAAATTTGAAAAAAATTAAACGTTCAAGCAATCAATGACAAGGCACAATGCTACAGACAGGAATGGTTTCATGTGGAAAAAATGGAAGAGAGACGCATTCCAAAGCAAGTGTTTAAATATAAGCCTCAAGGCAGAAGAGATCCAGGTAGACCCTAAAGAGAAGGGATTCTTAGAATCCGGAACAGGTCATAGACCTATCCTTGAAGTGGAGAAGAAAACTGTGTCTAAACGATATATTTCCGATGACACCATTAGTTTAACATCTCACTTCGTAGTTGATACGAAATTGAAATGGTGAGTCTGTCGAACACAGGGTTGCCGTGCACCTGCTCTGCCATAATATTAAGTTACACAGATGCTCGCGTTAAGTATGCAGATCCGACAAGCCAAATTGTGAAGATAACTTGCAAACTACACTTATGTGAATGCAACAGTGCAAAATGTATTTCTTACAGATTAAATGAAGAATATATAAACTCTTAACTGCTTTGCGTGAACATGATCTCTGAGAAGAAACAACAAAAATACTGCATGGGATGTTCAAATTTGCGGAGTGAACAAAAAAAATAAACTCTCTTAAAATGCTGCCTGATTTGCAGAGGCACATCCACGATTTTTCTTGGAGGTGGGAGGAGGGGCTACAAGGGTAGTGTCCAGCCGACCTCATGTTTTCTTATGACGAATTTTTAATTTATGATGAATATAATGCTTATTTTTATTTGCTGATATATTATTAATATTTATAACGTTAAAAAATTATAAATTGAATGACTTTCGTTAGTTTAGAAAATTAGTAAAAGATACATTTTTGAATATGTATCATTAGCTTCTGAAGGGGAAGGCAAACGTCTTAAGAGCTTCCCCTGCAGGGGTGCGACATTGTTGATTTGAAATGTATATTCTACCAAAATTTGTAGCTAGCGTTATCGCGATTGTTCACCTCCACTATCACCAGTACAATATCAATACGTTGCAAACCTCGTCGTGATTAATGTAGTGTTTTGAATAGTTGGAAATGAATAATGGCTGAGCTCCCTAAACAGAGGTCACACCAACAGTGACCACTACTTCAGAGTGGCTATTAAACATAACATTTAAAAAATAAGAATTGGTGACTTCCCAATTGTTTCAAACTTGCTGAATGCAGAGCCTATGTTTTTAGTGGTTGGTATTGGAAAGAAGATAATGAATTTCTCTCCAATTATTCCGTATTTAAAGAATAACCTGAAAACATCTTATTAACATTGACTTTGCAACTAGAGTAGCAAGCAGCCGTTGAGCAGTGGTAGGTGCTGTAGGGGGTATCTGTGGTTTTGATTTTAGATTTCTTCAGAAAGAAACAGTAAAAACTGTATGTGACGTAGGGGCGAAAATATTACCTGCGCACGCTTTCTTGAGTTCCAGAATCCCTTCCTGTCATTTTAACTATAAATGAGAGTTTTATTATTTTCACATCAAAAATATTAGTTGATTAATAATAATTGATCAACATTATCTGAAAGCAACCATTGCGTGTTTCAATTCTGAAAAGAATATTTTCAAGGAAATGTTCCACGACATATCTTAATGCAGTACATTTTTCTTTCCTCATATAAAAAAGATGAGTAAAAGTTTAACATTAATAAATAAAAATAAATTTTAAAAATCGTAAGATTAACATTATTGGAAAAATAGTCATTTTCGTTTCTGAGTGGTTGGTGCTCTCTCCCCCACTTGCTTGAGTGACTGTCTCAATAGACCGTCTGAAGTGCTTAGAGGTTTACTAATTCATTATTACAACTCATTATAATTCATCAAATGAAATTTTAGTTTGAATTTTTTATTGGTAAGTCATTGCTTTATTGGACAGTCATTGCTATTTGAGTGACCCAGTTTGTAGCTAACTTTCACGTGTTTATGTTCCAGCTGTTGGCGCGGTACCTCTTAGCCTGCCTCAGCCGGCGGAATTCAATGCCAATCATCCATTCTTGTTTATTCTGAGAATAGAGGAGACTATAGCATTTATTGGGAGAGTTTCAGACCCCAGCCAATGAACATATATGCGAATGACGAAAAGTTAACCACTACTTTCGTCACCAACCACTACTTTCATGTAGTACGATAAATTTAATGTGTTGATGTAATGAAAACTCATAACATTTGTAAAATATAAAGTGTGAAGATATATAATCTACAAGCCTTTTCGCTCAAAAAATATGGCAGCAAATATTCTAGTGATAAGATAACACGTGAGGTGATGGGTATGCTAGTTTAATATTATCAAAAACTAGTAGGATTACATTACTCATTTTCTCTCGTACAATTTGTAACGATAATGTAAAATAATAATATGTATTGCAAATTATGTAATTATAATGTTTCAGAAATCGTGTGCAAATCTCTCTTCCCTCAAACTCCTTGACTGCCCACAATGTTTATTTTATAGAATCTTCCAAAACATATACTACGAATATATAATTTACCGTCTTATTGCATATCAGTGCAACGACTGTCTCTCACATACGTTAATTAAGAGACCTACGAGCAACAGCCCAGAAACTATAGCAATAAACACAAAAATAAACAACAATACAACCATTATAGGGGCATATAAACCTCCTAATAAAATAGGTATTTCCATGAAAAATATTCACAGAAATGTTAGGAAACAACAATAACATAATGTTAAAAGGTGACCTTAATAGCATAAACAGCGCTTGTGAATGCAACACAACAACCCCTCAAGGGAAAAAATTTACTACATCTAGCTATCACCCTCAATATTCTAACCTCAGTAGAACCCACTCATTTCCCTTGCAATAATAATATAATTCCGGACCAATTGTATATCCTTATCACAAAGAAATATTGATTTCCCTATAGATCAAAAAGTATATCCTCTCATCACATCGCATCGCCTAATGATACCACTTCAATCTCACTATCATATTTTTATAAGCAGCACAAAGGTAAAATTAACTGATTTAAATACAGGGATAATTTAAAACTTAACTACAGACATCCACAGAGCATATACTTCGCTAATGATGTAGGTGCTAATGAAGTCAAAGGTCAATGCTTCGCTAATGAAGTCAAACGATTAGTCGGTAACATCCCTCCAGAATTCTACCACATTTCCCGAAAGAACAAGCTCTATTATCAAGGAACTAATTCCAACAAAAATTATAAACCTAATTAATAGAAAACACAATCTAAGAAAAACGCTATTGGCAAATGACACGACGACGAGACAAAAAGAAAATGAAACTAAACTAGACCAACATATATATTGTTACGTGCCAGTGGGGTTGGATGCGGGATTGCATGGTTAATAAAAACAAACACTCCTACATGACATTTAATTAACAATTTGCATGATTATGAAGATGAATATGAGTATGGACATGAATAAGTAGTTACAGAAAATTTTTACATTCCTTGTTTTGAATCTAAACTGACAGGCACTTTTCCCGTCACAAAGAATGACTTGCTGCCTTTTTGAAACTGCACTATTCATTGACAAGCTCGCCCGCGTTCTTAGCGAGGAAAAGGTGGGCGGTGACCCTATCTAATAACACCGATTATGCCCTTACTGCTTTGCTGAATAGCTGCGCCGCCCCGCAACCTCTGGGCGGAAGCACTCAATGACGCAGGACGCAGGCGTGGGTGGTTGACAGCTGGTTCTTGACAGTCGGCGGACAGCGGCAGCTCCCCGGCGCCTCATACAGGTTGCGCCTCAGTCCTCTCGCTGACGGCCGGTTCGACTCCTATTAAAGAATCGATTCTGAAAGCGAGTAAAAAAATATAAAAGTGGGAGTCGATTCTAGAATCGAATCGAAAGAAAAGAATCGATTCTCTAAGGAGTCGAATCAAATGAAAATATCGTTCAACGAAGGTATTGATACCAGAATCGGCAATTACTATTTAATAAAACACAACCAGGTGTTAATTTATTAAATTTCAATAACAATATTATTGATAAAATAATAAAATTGAAATAAAGTAATATAAAACATCAATGAAACTATATATTAATGGATCATAAATGAAACATGAAATATATTATACATTAACAATAGTATGAACTAATCAAGGAAATTGTAATGGATTTCAAGAAACATTTCACACAAGGCGATTCAGAGAAGAAAAAAAATTTTAATGCTAAAAAAGAGATGTTTTTGGGATGCTAAAAAAGTAATTTGAACCATGAGGTTTGGTTTGAACGAAACCAAAAGATGGAGACATAGTCGGAGGTAGAATTCAAACACGATATGGTCTTCTGTAATATTAATAATAAAGCAATACCTACATTACTAGTAAAGGAAAACGACAAATACCCTGAAAATACAAAAAATGCAGGAATATGCATTAAAAAAGTATCGAAGGTATTAATTTGATTCGATTCTGGCCTTTTGGAATCGATTCCGTCAAGAATCGGAAGCAAAGGAATCGAATACCGATTCCACAGAAATCGAAAGAAAAGAATCGAATCGGTAGAATCGGAACGTCCCTAGCCGGGCCCCTCGACCACGCGCGCACCTAGGCCCTTGTCACGCCAGGGCGATGACTCGCGCTCGATGGCGACGGTGTTCCGGACACATTACCCGGCGATCACTCGTACTGTGGCTATCACGTAAGGGCGGCTAAGGCTCTCACAAGGGCATAATATAATGCCTTTATCGAGGCTCAGTCGATACCGAAATCATTTCCGAAGTTCATGTAAACTCCGAAGTTCAAGTGTCATCTGAGCTTTCATGTAAAATGTCCGAACTCGAGGCTCTTCGGTCATTAATCTCTGCACTCCGGGCGCTCCCCTACAGTCTCAAGGTCGATCTCCATCAAGCTCATCTCATCTCGTTTACTCATCTTGATTTCATCTCAATCTTCCTTAGCGGTCCTGCCTCTCGAATCACGTAAGCTCGGAACTCCCTCCTTTCGCACTCATCCCAGTCTCTGATTGCTCAGCAATCGTAGACATAGTGCGAAATTCACTCTACAAGATGGCGTAAACGCCATATTGCTCAATTCTTTTGTTTTTCCAAAAAAAATACAAAAACATTTGTGTGACTTGTTTCTCACGTCGTTAATATTTACACTAGGGGCAATTTGTTCACTTTCGTGTAATAATGAGTACATGGGCTTTAAATAATGTATTTTTTTTCGAAAACTCTACAGTTTTCTGTTAAAAATGAGCTCAAAATTCCGCATTTTCACAAACGCTCAAATGCCATTTCCTCGAAAACGGCTCCAATTTTTTTCTTCAGTTTTCCAACGAATAGTGCTATTTACACTGTTTTAGATGAAGTAGAATGAATTTTGATGTATTCTTCTGTTTTTTCAAACATTACACAAATGTAATTTTTTTGAAATATCTCTCACGTCTTTAATACTTACATTTCGTGCGATTTGTAACCACTATTGCATCTGTGTCTAAAAGTGATTTAAATTACTTCATATGAATTTTTTTAGAAAAATCAATGGTTGCTGTGAAAAGAGGTTCAAATTTCGCATTCACAGTAACGCTGAAGCACCATTTTCTTAAAAATGGCTACAAATGTTTCAGTGATTATTGCCAAATAGGACGAGGTTTTACTTTTCCTTAATATTTTTAAAGTAATAACGCGGATCTACTATTTGAAAACCAACAAATTGAGAACATTTAAAAAAAATGTACTTTGGGCGGCGATAGATGGCAGCTGGCAAAAGTATATGGCAAGCCAGAATAGCTAGCCCAGACCAAAGAAAATAGAAAACTAATTCGAGAATGTCTGTGCCATTCTGTAGCACCACTTGTTCTTAATTCTTTTTTCACAGATAGAGCAAACGGTGCTTAAAAATGGCGGAGCTCTCATTTTCCTTGAGCTCTGATTTGTTTTTGAAAATTACATTAATTGGAAATAATGCCAGAAACAATTAACTTTTAAGCGTGGGCAAAAGTTAGTGCGACCGGGTGACTGCGTGGTGTACGTAGTGATAATGAGCTTCAGTTCACTTGATGGATGAATCTCGGCAAGGGAACACTTTCGTGGTGGGAAGCACATTTACAGCTTCATGTAGCAATGTAATATTGCTTATTCGTTACAAATAACGCGAGAAAGTATGTATACTGTTTTTAGCAGTGCTAGCTTAATATTTTTACGAAACTCCATAGCTTGGTTATGTTTAGGAGTTGAATGAGGTTTATACGGTCCTGGTCACCGATGACTGCTCCGATCGATCTGAAACGTCACGTCTTGCTGCGTGCTGGGGCTTCCTTCCGGTCGCTGCCGCAGCCTCCTCTGTCATTCGCACACAATCTGACGGGTTTGTTGCATTCTTACGTAATCAAGTACAGATGTTATCTGTCTCTTGTAGTGACAACCGTTGCTAGCGCATTGTCTGCCTACTTCGTGTATAGGGCGATCAAAGTCCCTTGGTATTTTGTTATAAATGGACGTTCGACCAATTAGCATTTCATTTGCGAGCGATTAGACATTTCACTTCAAAATATCGACTTTTGAAATCCGTATCTTGAGGAATAAAATATAACTTTCAAACAACATTTTCAGCATTTTCACAATTTTTGCATTTGAGATAATTGCGAAAACGGAAACTGCACTCGTTTCAAAGGCGGAATTACTACTATATCACAAAAAAATGACACAAGGTAACTATCTCTATCCACTTATTTGACGTATCGTAGTTACCTTGAGATGAAAAGTCAAAGGCAGGTAGGTTTCCATTTTGTTGACAGTGAAAGACAAACGTGGTAACCAAAAGGATGAAAACCTTTTGGATCTTCATTTTCGGTATGTATGAATATACGTATTACATAAAAAATAGCCGCTAATACATGCATGTGGTGTTGCGGTAAAAAGCATTTTTAAGGCAATGGCACAGCAAAATGTAAAACGATATTTTGCGTTTAAAAGTAACCAATAGTTATATAGGCCAAACTCATGCTTCTTCAATTAATCAACGTTTGATAGATAGCGAGAGAGAGAGAGAGAGAGAGAGAGAGAGAGAGAGAGAGAGAGAGAGAGAGAGAGACGGGGAAAGGGAACGACGGAAGAGAACACCAGAAATTGGAAGTGCTAGAAGAAAAAAAAGTTAGAATTTTATAACTAGTAAGGGATTTGAAATTTGAACACTGTTTAAAGAATGAACCAACGTTAATTAATAATAATAATAATAATAATAATAATAATAATAATAATAATAATAAAACTTGATGAGACTTACGAATTCCCGATTTCTATATTTTGCCCTCATCATTAATCAATTTTGAATAACACGGAATGGTGTTAATTCGAACATGACCTATTTTTGAATCCCTTAACGTGTTCAACTATATTATTATTATTTATTCATTGGAAAGTTTCAAATTTGTATATTTACATTTATTACACCCTATTAGCTATCTTTAG